AAGTAATTACCAAAACAAATTACGGTAGTAATTAATTTAATTTGAATTATTTTTAATACTTTATATTGATTAACAGTACATTCAATTAATTTAATGAATTCACATATAATGAAAACTAAAAATATTTAGCAGCACTATTCAATTTATTAATAAATAAAATGACAGATAATCAAATAATCAATTAATGCTTATCAAGGATATATGACATATAAAAATGAGCGTTAGAAAATTTTTTATCAAAAAGTGAACTAAAATTAAGATTATAACACAAAGAAATGTATTTTAAACTAATTTCTACACAACATTATTAGAAAGAAATGATTTTTTCATATTTTAAGGACATTTAGAGAACAATGTTTTAGTTTAGATGAGGATATTCTTGTAGAACACGATTCTTGAGTTTACGATAACAGTTGAACCCTATCTCTGCCTTTGACTGTCAATTGAATATAAAATAGGAAATTATAAATAAAATTATATTTAAAAGAAAATGTATAATTAACATACCATTAAATTTAGCGATTCACCAGAGTCAGTTGTTTTTTCGATGCAATACATAATGTCTGTAATAAAATGTAATAACGAAAACACTTTCGCTTCACGTATTATGCTATCGATTGAATTGATTTCATTGTTAACATAAGAATTGCCGTAAATGTTAACCATTTCCTCAATATATGCCTCAATAAAGACAGACATTTGTGTGTCAGTAGGGAACTGGACATTAGGACCAGCACAATACTCAGGTATCTCTTGGGCCCACGTACTAAAGTATTTACCCAGATCATAACCTCTATAGTTATAGTTACTGTAGTCAAAGTCTATGAAAAATATCTCCAAATTCTGTGATTTATTATCATTTGATTCACGAATTAATATATTTGTTCGGTTGAAGTCATTGTGAGAAAAGACTACCGGACTCTTCACTCTCAGCACCCGTTCCCCAATCCATGGCATCTCATCCAACAGATTGAGTGTCAAAAATGTGGTCAAATTCTTGGCGACAATCTCTTGTCGAACCTTTCCCTCGAGTAATGATTGTCTGTATGTTTCGGGAAACCATTTATCAAAATCTACGGCTTCTTTAGTACTGTCTTTGGTATCGGAATATTCAGTGAATGAAATTTAGCCAACTTTTGGGCTAACAGTGCCACTGTTTTGGGGTTGTGGTCATCACTGGTATTGAGGTATCGGAACTATGTTTAATTAAATATAGTTTGTATTACTGTATTTATATGTACATTATTTTTATAGTATTATTACATACATCGATATACTCGCTGATAAGTCCACTGTTAAAAACACTCAACAATTTTGGTGCGATTTTCATCTCAGATAATATCAAACTCTTGACAAATACATGAGTTTCGCAGACAAAGTCTTTTATG